TATGTGCCCATGGAGGAGAGGAAACGAGGATCATCGCTGCAGAGATCCCTCCCCCCACCTCCTTTCACATCATTTCCCCCACAGAGCCGAAGTCATCGTCCTTCCTGCTCACTTTATAGCCCTTATCACGACTCTAGATGACAGTTTTGTCTGGCAGCAAATAAAGTCTGTTGAGAATACAATAGTCTAGATTTGTAAGCAGAAGCACAAATGAAAGAAGACTCAGAAAGAATCAGTTGAGACTGAGATCTCTGTAAAGCACACAGTCACAAGGTGTATGACCTGGAGTGAATCGCAGATCTGTCCTGTCATTTGCTCATCAAAGCATTATTTGATTCAATAAATACTTACCATATGCCCGGTACCAAGTACTGGGATTTATGCTCTTTCAAACACTGCTTAAGTTCCTGCTATGTGCCAAGCATTGATCAAGGGGTCAAGGTGTAGCCTTGAAAGAGGCAATGTTTCTGTCTTCCTGCAATTTATGTTCAGATGTTGGCCACAGGAGGCATGAAACAAACATATGATCAATATGTCAGGTGTTAAGTCCTATGGAGAAGAATGAGAAATAAAGAGATGAAAAGGGTCCAGACTTTATCTTGGAAGTCCTCTGGGGAGCTAACATTTAAGCAGAAACAAGAGACAGCTAGAAGGCTGATACCATAGATACCATAAAGAGAACATATCCAGAGACCATAATAGCAATGATTCAATCAACTATCCTCTCAAAGCTGGGGAAGGGAGTCGATTGTGGAATGACTCATTGTACACAAAAGCCTTTTAGGTTGCCTCAAAGTGAAGAGTGGAAACTGAAAGGTTGGTTTTTGTTTGTTTTTAAGTTGTCAGCTTGCTGATTACAAGCCTAAGTACCTTATTACCCAACACAGACACGACAACCTGAGAGGAAGATGGCATGAGATATCCATAAAAGGATGACTAAGAGTAGCAAAGGCTATTTAAATCGTAGACAACGCTCTTCATCAGTCACTGATTTCAACTAACAATCAGATGGATCACACCTGCATCTATAGCCGAAGGTCTTATCCACAAACTGAACTGGTGCTGGCCCGTGTTAGCAAACTCACACAATTGTCTTCAAAGTTCCAGGCTTATTTTCTGCCCCACTTAAACCTGTACACTGGGCCTGCAGTTTGTGAGCTACCGTAGTGTCGAGTATACTATTTCCTGCTCCGTGTGATTAGGTGAGACTCAGGCTCATAACCAAAAGGTGACTTGAGCTTCTTCATTTACAAGGAAATTGCTAGTTAGAAAATTTCTAAGGTTTTGGCAACTAATGAAGCCACCTATTAGCACGGGTTAGTGTGTACAGTTCCTCTCGGGTGTAGTTACAGTCAGTGAGCCAAGGAAATACCTAACCTGCAGCTAGAGACGCACTTAAAATGCTGTAATCAAGCTGGGAATGTAGCTTCAGTGATAGAATATGTGCCTATGTGCCCTGGGTTTCATCCCCAGCACCATCAAATAAAAAGCCTCAACCTTGCAGTTTCTTACTCGCACCCCCCCCTTAGATCTGACTTGGGGGGATAATGGGGAACATACATGATTCAGTTCAACCCGAATGTGGCATTTAGGAGGAAAACCCCAGCTGAGCACACACGAGTACATTTCAGCTTTGCCAGAAGAAAAATAGTTATGCATTATACATGGACTACAAAGACGTTTTTTGTAAGCTTTCCTTTCAAATGTTTGAGTTTTAGAACTTAAAACATTCCATGTGTTTTGTGTTTCTCCTCCAGTTAGACTAAAGAGAAGGGACTGAAATTTTGGTCTCAGCAGTCCCATGCGGTATATCCCAAGAATGTTTAATATAATATCCTGTGCTATAGAGTTTGTAAACAAGGCTCTTAGACTCACGGCTGATTGCTATTAAGGGCTTTTAATTCAACAGGTATTATTATGTGCCAGGCCCTGTTTTCGGTACAGAAGCTACAAAGTACTTTATGTCCATCCATGCATCACAGAAAACAGGCCATAACCAACACTATAAATACATATGATGTCATGGCAGGTCATGAAGAAACTATTCTTCCTGCTTTATTCAGGGAAAGGGAATTTGGGTGAGGCTGCTATTTTAGGGGAGGGAAAGTCTCACCCTTGAAGTCCTACTTGAAAAAGGATCTTAATGAAGGGAGAAAGGAGGCTTTGAAGCTATAGGAGAAGAAGTGTCCTGGACAGATAGAGGGCAGGGCTCAGCAGGCATAAACTGCAGGGCAGCTTGGAGTTTGATACAGTCAGATGAAGATGAGTGTAAGTATTGGCAAGGCAGCCATAAATGTAAGCTACGTGATGGTTAATTCTCTTGCATCCTGCCTCTCCTCTCCCTCCTCCATCCCAGTGGAACCAACACTAGTTTAGTCTGGCTTCATCTGGGAGAAGTCAAAGAGATGATAGGGACTCATCCATAGGTCCCATGTGCTATAGATATTAGTCACGGACTTCCAAGATTCCCATTGATTTTTTTTCAAGGCTAACCTTCTCTGAAACACAGAGTCTCAGAAGTGTCAGTTGTCACTAAGCAAAGTTTTCCTTTCTGCTTAGCAGGAGAACCTTCTAAAGTTAACACCAAACCCACGAAACCTAGACTCTGCCATGACTAAATCAGGAAATGAACTCATTTGGAAAGAAAATTTGCAACACGAGGGCTTTTTTCCCCACTGAAGGTGTTCAGCACAAATAAAATAAAATAACACAGGGCCTCAGAAAAGACAGGATGGATCAAGTCAGCACCACCAGACCCTTGAAGAAGTTGGTTAAGCATGCATTATTAAGGGCTCAAAGGTAAAGACTTGTTTAAAAACACATAAAGAGAGAAACCATCTCCAGATGAAACAGAAACAGCACATAAGAGTGAAAATGGAGTTTTGGAATAAAAGTCTTCTAGCCACCTGCCACCTTACATTTGCACAAACTAAAAGAAGTTATTTACTTAGACACATGGAAAAGGATTGCTTTTAATGGCAGCTAACAATAGAACAAATGAAGAAAAATCACACACAAGACATATGTGTAAGGAATTATGCGTGCAAAAGGAATTTTCATACAGCATTTCATAAATGTATATACATGCATATTTGTACTTTTTAAAATACCATATGTAATGAAAGCTGTGCATAAATATTTATAAAAATACCTTTATCTAACTAGGCCAGTAACATTTAATATTTTTCAATAAATTCATATATAAAATATATACACCAGTGCCAAATGGAACATATATTTTGAAATATGAACCCCAAGTAAAACTCTGAGGAATCTGGAGTGGAACCCAGGTATCTGCCAAAGGCAACTTCGGAGCAGTCGGTCAGTTGGAGAAAGGAAACAGTGCCGGGTCCCTTATCTTCACCGACTGTTTTGCTTGTCAAAATTCTGGTATCACTTCTGCGGTTTTGTATTTGACTTCCGACCTCATGGCCGTTTAACCTGCCAACTATTATTTTCTTTGAGGCTTTTAGCACTCCACCCAAGTATTTTGCTTTCCCGAACAGTTGTGTCTACTTCCTTTTTAAATTCACCTTAACGTGGACCGTCGTTTAGAACCTGGAGTTAAAGTGCACCCCAGTCTAAGGTTTCAGAGCGATTCGGATTCGGGAGCACCCTTGTGATGACCTGAAGCCCGATAGAGCTCGGAGAAGCCAAGGTCTTCAGGAGGGGCTCCGCTTTGTGCCAGGATTTCCAGGCAACCTGAGAGTCCCAGAGTTGGGGCCAGGCCCGGAGCGTGTGACTCCTCAGGGTTCCAACTCCTTTTCCAGGTCAACCAAGCCGGCGGGGACTTCAACGCCGGAAAACGCCACCTTTTCCTGTCTCCAACCAGGCAGACTAAGGGAGAAGGAAGAGAGGGCGACCCGTTAAGACAACTAACATTAATTGACTGGGTTGCTACAGAGGTCCAGGGACAGAGGGGTCGTCCTGAGGCCCTGGCCGGGTGACCGACGGGCACAGGTGTCGCCACGGGCGGAATTTTACGGTCGGGAGCGGCAGCAGCTGCGCCACTTGCGCCACCTCGTAGAGCGTCCGGGAGAGCCGCCACCCGCTTCCGCAGCTTTAGGTCAATCTCTGAGGGACCTGGAGGGGAGGAGACACCTCCCTCCCGACAGGAAAAACCTGCTGCGTCTGCGTTTCTCTGCGTCCCGCAGGCTCTCAGCCTCCAGCCCCGCGTCTCCAGCGCGGCAGATCCGCGCTCCGGGTTTTGGCGACAGCTTGCAGGGGGAGCCGGCTGCACGTTGACAGCACGCGACCCTCCTCTTCCCTCCCGAGAGCTACAGCTGCCAGGGGGTCCCCAGGGAGCCGCGGCCGAGCTGCGGCGACCTGGTCAGGTGGCCCTTCTTCCCCGCAGGTCCCCTTCCTCCGCTGCGAAGCCCCGCACTGCTAAGTGGGCTAGGTAGGACAGGGAGAGGCGGGGACACGAGGGTAAGCACGAGGGTCCCGGGTGCGGGCGGAGTCCCATTGTTCTCCTGCACCGTACGGATAGCAACGCTCTGGGATCCCCCTCTTTAAAGGGAGAACCCCGCCACTTTTCTTTGTGCCTGAGGGAGTCCCAGCCGGCTTTGCCTCTAAGAGAGGCCACACCGGTGGGACTGGGAAGTGACAGTGGGTGCCCTTTGTCTTCCAAGAGCCCGCAGCCTCGCTAGCAGTCCTGCGGGTTTGGGGGTGGTGAGGAGGTGGGGGACAGGTACAGCGGAGGGAAGGTCCGGGTTCGCCCGCACCCTTCTCCCCGCCCCGCCCGGGTCTCGCAGCCCCGCCCCGCCCCGGGCCCGCCCCACCCAGGGCCCCGCCCCGCGCCCCGGCGCCCCGCCCTCGGCAGGTTGAGGCCGCCCGTCCGGCAGCCGCGCGCACAGCGTTGCGGGCGCTTCTAACTGCCGCTGCGAGCACAGCAGCGGGGACGCTCGCCGGCAACCCAGCTCCGCAGCCGCGGCCTCCCGGGAGACGCTGCGCACAGTCCCGGAGCAGATTCAGCGGTGAACCATCGCTGTCCCTCCGGTTCTGCGCGCACCGGCGAGGAGTGTGTGCACCCTCGGGAGGCGACCCGGGCCAACGCCCGGCCCCCCGGCAGAAGCAAGGAGCCTTGGAGACTGCTGCTGAGTGTGTAACCCAGGCTGCCTCTCCACCTGTAAGTCTGTCCGACCCTCCACCTAAGCCCCTTCCAGCTAGTGCATATGGTGGCCTTGGAAGACTTAGAGGGTGCAAGGATAATCTAGAGCACCGCCTTCTGGAGATGATGTCCAGAAGATCAAAGGGGACATCATGCTTGATGTCCGGGAGGGGGGGATCAGGACGCGGAGCTCTGCCATCCGCGCCTACTTCTTTAGGGTGGGGCTGCAGGCAGCACGGCCCCCTCCGGGCCATTGACAGCCATTCTGGGCGCGTGTTGCGTTTTTCTATCAGAACAAACCGCACTGGACTACCGCGCCCCTCTAGGTGTGTGTTTGCACCGGCGCGGCGCGTGTGAGTGCACCGCGCAGCTTGGCAGTCTCCACACTGACAGAGGCAGCGCATTGTAGCTGAGGCTCCAACCTGCAGATATGGCAGTTGGAATTTTTTTTTTTCTTCTTGACTGCGGTTTCTGAACAACTGAAGCGTTTACAAGATCTTTTTCTCCTCCTCCTCCTCCTCCTCCTCCTCCTCCTCCTCCTCCTCCTCCTCCTCCTTCTGCTGCTCTTCTTCCTCCTCTTCCTTTTCCTTCTTACTAAGTATCTTGACACAGCCATGCGAGGACGAATGGATCTGGCCAGTCATTTTTTTCTTTATGAATTATTATACTCCACCCCCTCTCGCCTTTGGGAGGGAAGGCATGTGTTTCATCTTATAAATAGAAAGTAGCATATTTTTTGGCAGGACCTGCTTTATACTGCACCGTCTAGGAGAGGTCAGTTTAAAAATAAATATGCACTTGAATGTTACATTACCGAGCCGGCTGTGGCTGGGACAAGCTGCGAGGACAGCAGCATCAAAGCTGGGCACACATCTGTGTTGAAAGGAGTAAAAGCCCCAGAGTGCAGCCCCGGCTGACAGTCAAGTAATTACATTTTGTTTTAAAAAAAAAGTGAGTGAATTAAAACGAGGGTGGGAAGAGGGATATCAGGCGGGGACTGGAACATGAATCTTTGCAGCCTTGGTGCGTTTTCGGGTAGCGGGCTGCTGATGTGTGTAGCCTGTACGGGGCTCTGGGGGAGGGAACTAATGTATGTGTTAAGGAGACAAAGATTCCTTCTGCTTCTTCCCCACCATGGCAGCTTGTAGCCCTCACAATATCCTCGAGTTCTGGGAGGGGGTGGGGGAGGGGTGCCGCCTTGAAAATATTAGGAGGGTAGCAGATGTCCCTGCTTTAATAGCAGACCCAGACTTGGGAACTTCCCCTTAACATCACAGGGAGGAATAAGCCTCCCCAGGAAGCAGCCAGGATGCCCCAGGGGTATCCCTAAGTCCATTAAAAGACTCCTGTAATGGTCTGACTTATAAAAGATCTTTCAACTAACAACTGAGCTAGGGAGTACAACTTCTGGACAGCTGTAGACGGCTCCACCACTGTGATTTGATGGACAGTTTAGATGCAAGTATACACAAACACCTTTTTCAGAATGAAGGACTCAGACATAAGGCGGTTGTGAACTGTCTGGCAATGTAACGCGTGAGATAAAGGATAAGATCTATATTCAAGGAATGGTTGGCAGTCCATATGGAAGTGCCTAGGTTTTCCAGTAGGCCTTGCCCATGACGGAAGACCGGGCTACCAGCCCCTGGGCTCACAGCCCCTGGGCTCACAGATGATGTTTGGAGGAGAACTTTGGAAGCCTTCTGGGTCCGTGGCAGTTTCTGTTTCCAGCCATCTCATCTGCTAGAGATTTGCATTCTGAGTTCTATGATTGGAACATGGTGCAGGGGCTGTGGCAGCCCCTGAAGACATGAAGTAAGATGAGCTCCCCCCACCCCCAATCTAAGCCCTGAAATTCTGCCTCATATCTGAAGGGGACCTAGAGAGACAGCTAGAGTAAAGCACTTAACTGTACATTTTCTCTTTTTTGCTTTTTATTGTGAATTTAAATGTGGTCCAAGATGCATAGAAAGCTGTAACCATGATTGCAGGACGGCTCCCCGGAGCCGGTTGGCCCTGTCTGCTCTCCAGTTTCCCCTTTAATGTGGTGTTTTGTTTTATGTCTGACATGTTCACAAAAGCTGACCTTTTCCACTTATAAATTTTCTGCTCTTCAACAGCATTAGGGATAAAATCTCTTTAACCTGTATCACCCTAAGGTTCTTAACCAAGCCATCAAAGTTTCACAAGTCCTTTGCCCACTAGACGTAGCATTTAGCCAATAAGTGGCAATACAATTCCCGACCTAAGCCCCTAGAATAACTGTGCCAATTTATTATTATTATTGTTATTATTATTATTACCCTTGTTTCAGTTTGATTTCATAGAGGCTCAGCCTAGTTTCTTTCTAACTAGAATCCCACTGACCTACTTTTCTTTTCATTGAGTAAGAACCTAAAAACTGTATTTTGAAATACACTATGTTTCAGAGAACAAGTTTAGCCATTTGAATCTAGTAGATGCAACCAGGCCAAAAAAAAAAAAAAATTTCTTAAGATTGCAGGTCGGAGAATTCTAATGGATATCAAAAGTAATTCTACCACAAAGCCTGTACTCAGTGCTAAGCTAAGTACTCTCCTCAGTGCCTGCGTTAACCACTTCATTGCTAAACAATCACTCTATGAAAGAAGGTGTGTCAGTGCCTACATTTTACAGGTGTAATAATCGAAGACAGACCAGTGATATAATTTGCCCAAAGTTAGACAGAAAAGAGCATACCTAAATGTGGGTGTGCCTGAGTGCCCAATTCTACGTGGAAGTCTGCCTTTTTGGGTTAAAGGATTGAGAAAGCCTGACATTATTACCATGGAGTAAGACCACCTAGACACATTGCCTGGCTCTGACATATATCACTTGTGCAATATTGGACAAATGATTTCACTTGTGTGACTGTCTCATTTGATATCCACAGCTAATCTTTTAGATAGATGGTATGGTACTTCTTTTCCAGATGAGACCTTAGACTCTCGTGCTCTGTAACTTGGTCAAGGTTACACAGCTAAGTAAGTGGCAGGGCACAGTTTGAATTCAGGTGTGTCTGACCTAGTTGTGAATGCCACACCTCCATTGTCTGGGTGAGGGTTACGAGCGCTATTAACTATGATTACTGTATGGCTTTGGCCTCTGGAGAGGAACTCATCCTGCATTCCTCTAGCTCACCATATCACCTCCCAGAGGAAGGTGACAGTAATTGTCAGCCCGAGGGGAGACAGCTTGAATTACTTAATTATTAAGGGTGGTTGGTTCAGTCTTGTATATGGCGACCTTGTGCTTCTATGGCAGAACTATCATGAAACTGCTGGAATTGGTCTGAGCAGTTTATAGCATAAACAAAGAGATTCACTAGGGGCAAATGTGGAACTCTGAAAAGAGAAAGCCATGCCCCAGCTGGGGACAAGGCACTCCAGTATCCAGGAATGAAAGCAGCCATAAACGCAGGAATGAACGTAGGCGTGTCCTTGGATCAGTCAGAGGTAATAGGACTGAATAACCATGTTTGGTATGTCATTACATCCATGGGGCCTGCCTTGCAGCCCCTGGCACCCAGTGGATATTCAGTGCCTGTTGGGTGGTGATACTGCCCTGATAATTCCAGGGAAGTTAGGAACTACAGGAGGTTGGGAAGAAAGGTCCTTGGCAGAAAGGGGCCTATGACAGTGGTGCACACACCCTGAGCAGTGCTAGATAAATGTCTGGTGTGAAAGATAGCATGGAGAAGCCTTACAGGCTAGAGCGTCCTTGCCCAGGATGGTCGGCCTGGCCTCTGCTTCTCATCAGCTGTGAAGCCTCAGCTTCATCCCAGGGCAGGCTCTGGAAATGACTGAGGTTTGCTTCACAACTACAGGGACAGCTGTTGGAACTGGGGCTGTCCAACCTGATTTGGAATTTTCTCTTTTCCTGCCTGTTTCCTTTAAAGATGACAAAACAAAACAACATCCTACAAACTAAATTAAGCAACCAACCACATCTACAGCAATTAGCAATCAACCAGGGAGTTTCTTCCCGCTTTGGCCTTGGTGCACTTCAATGAGAACTTTTACAGAGTGGAGTACCAGACTAAGTGTGCCATTGTGGAAAAGCAGCCTTTAAATCTAACCTTTTAGCTTTATGGTAGGAAACAGACATTAAAACAGTGGCTGTTTTGTTGTGGTTTTGTTTCTGATCTTGAACTCCCCATCCATCTGTCTCAGCATCCTGAGTGCTGGAGCTATATACAAAGGCCACCATGCCCACAGTGCACCTCCTCCACTCATTTTTAAGTAGCCAGACTGTAGGAAGATGGTGAGCTCAGTCGTGTCTCTGCGGTCATTAGTGCCTGCCTAAATGGCCCTCGCAAGAGACCGCAAGAGGAGGACATTTTCTAAAACTAAAGTTCTTAGTGGTTTGGAAGCTGTTTGCATGTTTCAGAAAGTTAGGACTGGCCTTCTAGCCTTTGACTCTTAAGCAATATTAAGTGGTCACATCCTGTAGTGACCCAATGGGATTGATACCTAAAGCATTCCTGAAGACTCAGAAAGACCAGGAAAGGGAACTGCAGGAAGTCAGTTAGATGATGTCCCAGCCCCCTTCCTGCACAACTTTGCAGAGTACCCACTATACCACCGGGCAGTGACTCCCTGTGGAAAGAGCTTCTACTGTGTCTCAGATTGTTTTGCCCTCACAATGGCTTCAGGACTACTCAGGGAGAAAACTCACTCTGGGGAGCACCAAGCCACAGTTGCACCGATGACTTGTGTGTTGTGTACCTTGCAGCCTGCTGAGCTGAAGGTAGTAGATACTGGTTCAATAGTGGTTCTGCTTGGAAACAGGCAGAGGTAGCAAGGACTGATCTGAAAACACAGGTTGGCAGCTTGACATGGATCCGAATGGTGTGATTCAGGCCTCTGGAAGCCTGTTTCTCATCTCTAACAGGATTTGGTGTTTGATGAGCTCAGATCATCCCTAGCTGTAGATTTCAGTAAGCCAGTATCCATGCGACCTATCACCATTAGCCTAGCCTGCTAATAAAGAGGGGCCTT